CGACGTGACGTGATACTAGTCACGTGACCTCGATGTCGTAACAATATCATCCTGAAGTTAAACTTTATTTTTTTTTGTCCAAAGTGTATTCCTAACTCAGAAAACAATGCACTCAATTTTAATGATACTCCTTACCTTTAATAGCTTCTATTTGCAACTGGATTAGAAACTTGTGGATTTTTAAACCATTAAAAAAATGTTAGTTACAAGAGAAAACATCTTTTATTTTAGTCATTTATAGAATGCAACAAACAAAAATATAGCTCTAGTATGAATTGAAAATTACAAATGCAGCCATTATGCTGGAAGTTTCTAGATCTAGGCTAGTTAATTAAAATTTCAGGAAACTGAAGTCAATGATGCATTTCTTCTTCTAACACTACCATTTTCAGAAAAATAAGCACACTTTTTGGTTCAAGCAAGTTCCAGATGAAGAAGGAATTGTTTCTTCCTAACTCTAAAAGTAGGTGGGTGATGGTTGTGAAACATAATTTAAGCTTCCTGCTTTAAAATTATCATTTTAATTTGGAGTTTGACCTTGGTGTTTTCTTAGTTTAAATCCATTTAGCTTGAAATCAGAGTTAATGTTTATGAGTAGTAACAAACGGAACAAAACTAAGGCTTCTAAAATAAAATGAAAAGCATAGACTGAAATAATGCAATGTAACAAAAAGGCTTAATAATAGCTACTTTAAAAAAAGAGTATACGAGGAAAACTTTGAAACAGATAGTATGAGTTATGAAAACCAGTTGAAAGGATGGTTTTTAATGTTTCTTGATAAAAATCAACTGTGGCAAAAATCAACTTTAAGTAACTATTTTATTTGCTATTACCATGACAATAATAACCACTTTAGACAGTAGCTGATTAACATACATAGAGTTAATTATGGACAAGCAGTTATCAAAGTTTTCCATTCTAAACTCAACTGCTATCATAGTAAACAACATAGATAACTTGGTAAAACAGATATTAACACAAAGTCTCTTTAAACCAAAATAATACATGTGAAATACTAAACTTTACTGACAATTGACTTTAATCCACTATATACAATATGAATCTTCAAAATGTATAAACTATTAATTTACACGAATAACAGGTGTAAAAGTACCTTTAGCATGACTAACAACCCTCAAAACAACATAAAATAATGTATTTAATGCTTTTGTGTATATATGTAAAGAATCAACCGTTTAAAGTTGCACTTTACTTATTTATCTAATAGTACCGGATCATTTTGAAATGTTACACTCCAATTCTAACATTTGTAATACACGATCATAATCAGACAGACATAAAACCACTCGCCCAAAAACATTAAATGTTTTTTTTTAAACTATTCATCTATTCTGCATAGCCGCTAAAATAGCTTAAAACTTTGATGTCTGCAATATAGCCTTTTTGCTATCAGAGTAAGAAGAACTTGATAAGAGTCAAATCACATCAGGAAAGCTGTTTAAAAATCTTTTTTTTTTTAATGAAATAAGAACAAAATTCGGGATTTTTTATCTTCCCTTATTTAAAAGAAATTAGTTATTTTTTTCAGAACAGCAAGCAGTCAAAAAGTTTGAAAGGTAAATGTTAAAAAAGGTAAAGAGGTCAGAGCTTTAAACTGTTAAAACTGTTCTTACGTCCACTGTCTGGTTTGTGGTACAAGAGGACTTGATTTTTTTCACTTTTATTAGAGAGTAGATATAAAAAAAAATCTTAGAATGCTAAAAACCATTTAACTGAAGCTGCTACAACATGAACTATTAAAAAATTACATACAGCATCTATTAGGAAAAAACGTATAACAAAGCCAGTTCAATACTGTACACTTCCACTAAGTGAGAGCTTTTGAAGCTTCAGATAGATAAAGTAGATTATATTTGAAAAATAGGTTCAGGACTCTTACTTGCACATATCAGTGATTGTACAGTACATATCATTATTTCATTACATAATGCAAATTTCATATTATAAATGTCACACTTAACAAGCCACTAATCATTAAATATTAATAATGTAAGCACGACGCAATAAGATGGATAGCTACGTAAAATTGTCACAACTGTGAATAGAACTGCAAGAGAGAGAGACTAGAGATTTTAAAACTGAGGACTTTATTAACTTCATATTTGTTATAATAAAAAGATTTATCCTAGAAACAAAGCGCTTTAAAAAGCAAACTTCATAAAAAGTGAGTATAAGTGTTTCTTCATCGTGGCAAAGACCTGTTTTGATACTTAAATCTGTAAGTAAAATTGGTCTATATTTTGAGCATCTTAGGTCTTGTTCATTATCTTGAAGAATTAATAACTCATGCAAAAATAATAATAATAATAATGAAAACTATAATATACATTGGATAACTGGTACTTCAGTAAAAGTGAAAAGTTGTGTGTTTTTCAATAAAAATTAGAATCCTATTCAATTTTATTCTTTTAACTTTACAAACTGTAATTAGGGATTAAAAGTCATAAGTGAAATATATACTTAGTAAAAACACACAGAACAGTACTAATCACTTCAAAACTTAAATCATAACTAACTAACTCAGAAATCACTGTCTTCACAGACATCCAGATATACATCAAAAGCCTCTCGGTTACAGTTCCCTTCCTGGGTAAAGACATATTTGTGGAATGTTCCATCCACGCATATAGCTAGAAATTGGAAGGTGAAAACTATAAATCTTAGATACAAACTGATCATACTTATTAACATAAAAATTAATACTGAACTGTACTTATATTTTTTTACCATTTAAAAATAAGCTACATACATTGACAATAAATGATGTTTTATTAAAACAAAATTATGTAACCTAGATAAAGCCAGTGTGTGTCACATCATGTCATGTTTGATTTCTCAAAATAGGAGGAATTATAAAAGCCAAAATGTATTTATCGAGATAGAATAGTTTGAGTACTAACTGCCGATTGTAATTTTAGTAGTGGGAATTCAAGGGGGCTTTGAGTGTGGGGTGTCATGAAATCTTATAAGTGTAGTGAGTGTTGTAATAAGAAGCCTAAAGTAAAGATGAAGTGTGGGATCACCTAGCCTAGAGCCAAGTGCATAAAATTTATCATGAAAGTAAAAATATCGATTCAATTTTAAACTTAAATTGTTTGTGAATTAAGGTATTTTCTGTTATATCACTAACATTTTAAATAAAAAACAAACCTCTTTAATCAATGGAGACTAAATTAAGAAATAAACAAATATTTTTCCAGTTTTGAAATGTATATAAATTTCATTTTATACTTTCAGTACATAGACTAACAACAATATTAGGTAATACTTTTGTTGCTAAGCTACATGACATGAAAGCCATTGTTGGAACGTAATGTTACCAAAAAGCACTGGCTTTTCTATATATATATATTAGAAGTTGTTAATCTAACTAATTTCTACCCATAATTATTCTATGAATATGCCACAAATTCATTTCATGAATGATCTTAATTTTGATTGGCTCACAAAGGGATTTATCGATGTTTGACTGCACTTTTCTGCCTCCTTGTTGGTCAAGCTTGATTTTGCAAAATTTATTTATTTCAGTTAGCTATGAAATGTGAGGTTAGGGTATACTATGAGGTGGGGGTTGTAGTACTTGCCCCGTCATTTTTTACGGGTTATAAGCTAATGGAGATATAAATGCCAACAATAGTATTGCAGTTGCTGAAGACCAATTATAAAAAGTTAAGTCTTATTGTTGTAAATACAGAGGGCTAATCACACTTCATAAAAACATTGTGTGAGGTCCCATTGAAGGATTCCTTCATTCTTTGTGGAATGTGCTTATTCTGATGTCATGATTATGCATAATTGCACAATATTGGAATTTATATTGTAATATGCTTCTAAGATGAACAGAAATGGCAATCTTAGTCTGATATCTTGATAAAGTTTTCAGGGATCCTCCACTGTGAGTGGATGTTGATCCAAGTTCACATTTAAGCAAACCACATGCAAAGAGTACATAGGTGCACAGTCAGGTGATTTCATAGGCATATTTTAAAAGTGTAGAGCACAAACACTAATTTGACTAATAGAGTCCTGCATGTGGGTGTATTTTCCCTATATAATGCTATTCACTATATCATAGATAGCTGTGTTTGAAACTGGTGTGCCTCAAGTTTTGCATCTCTTTGCTATTTCATTAAACAAACATTCTTTCTTGGAAAGAGCTGTGAGATGTGCACTGGGAATTTACAGTGAACCAAACAAGCACTAAATGTGGAGTGCATGGGGCTTTGGCTGAAACATGCAACAACATGCCACTGCACAAGTGTCTGCAGATCATTCTTGTAAAGTATGTTTAATCCCCCATACTTATAACAAATACGTTCCTTAAGTACGTGCAAGTTTATGAAAGAATTTAATTGTAAAACACATACTTCTTATGTGTATACATCACTATTTAAATATCCAAAACATTTCACAGTTTTTTATATACTAGTGTTTTTAGCATGTCTGGTGCTTCCTCTCCTGGAAGATACAAATTCTTAGACAAGGTATGTAATATAAAGTGTTTGTTATAGAAACATGATGGCTTAAATAAATTCTATTTTGCCATTTAATAGTTGCGTGTATTTTTTATGCAAGGAAAAGCTGTTAAAGACATTATCATTATGATACTTATCAAACATATTTTTATGCTAGAAGTAACAAATGGAGGAACTTACACATCTTATAGGAATCTGAAACATCTATTGAGTAGTCTCAGAAATAGTAAGTGGCTTAAAATGAGAGATCCTTTCCAAACAAATTATTATTTTAAGTAAACTTTGAAACTTATTATGTTAGAATTGTATGGTTACATAAGTAAAATATTTTCACCTACAGTTTGTAAAAAGACAAAATTCACACACATGGGAGGTAAGATTTTTTCATGCACAGAGATGACAATACAATGATAATGGACACAGTTGTTACAAATTACATACAATTGCCCATTTATAAGTATATAAAAAGCAAGAAAAAAACATTTTGCATACAATGAGCATTGAATCATATTGTTGTTAAGGGATCTCGAGTTCGACGTACTTTAAAGTTGGAGTTTAGAAAATTAAAATTTTGATATCTTTGAACTAAACTAATAGAAAAGTTGATAGCGTATTATGTGTATTGTAGCTTAACTATTATGATGGTAATTTACAAATGATGCAAACAGTACTGGGCTTTTAATAAATTTAAATTAGTACATTTGCCTTCTACGAGATTGAGTATCTTAATCACCAAATAATAATAGTCACATGTAATTTTTGCAATTAAAGCTAATCTTGCAACAGAGAATTTGTATAGATAAGTCTGTCCCCATGATATGCTTGTTGGTATGGTGACACAATCAAGCTGATTCTTGAACACATCAACCTAACAAATTGATGAGCATACAAAATAATCACACATACACTTGGCTATACAAAGTTAAAGAATTGCCACTGTATCTAGTGGTGATGGACTAGTCAAAATAAAATTAAAAGTAAAGCTACCAAGTTTGGTACAGTGGTATAACTAGTTTAGGATACTACAATCTTGAAATAAAATATTATTCCTGTTTTAATGCAAATCAAATCAGTTTATGCTTGAAATTTATGTCATAATCAGAAAACACAATCTTTTTTCTTTTCCATTTAGTCAAAGTATTTTTTAATACTTTTATAAACTAACGTATCTTACATAAGTGTCTGTAAAAATTGAAAAATATATGATCTTCATGGAAACTAACTGCTTAAAGATCTCATTAATGTATCTTTTAAACAATGAAAAAAGTAACAATAATTTTGCATGTAACAGTGATAAAACAAGCACTGAAAGTGCTTTTAAAAATATTTAATTTATGTTTAAGCTTCTATAAAAGGGTTATACAAAAACGAAACTTCCTGAGAAAAAACATTAAAATCATAAGCATTAGTCTTCCCTTATCCCTTATTTTTAAACTTCAAAACTAATGCAGGGGCCCATTTCCAAAGAAATCATGACTAAACAATCCTTGTACACCTGGCAAGATCTTTCCTTGCTTATTGCAAGGGGCTTTAATTAAAGAACTGTGCATGTGTGAATGTTATTTTAAGCTCTCAACTTGCTACAAGGCAGTAAATGTAACTATACAATAACAGACATTTTTTATTTTAAGCATTATATACATGTTTTTGTGTTAAAAAAAATAATGATACACCTAAAATCTAAATATTTTATGAATAGTATAAACTATGTTACCATATACAGAAGACTTTGATCCAAAGGCACATATACAGGCACATTCAGCAGCCACAGTGAAGTTAGCTAGTGCCCACTGAGATTCGACATATTGGCCCAGAAATCCCATTTTTGAAAAGCTGCAGAGTCATCAAATCACAAATTATATTTTTAGTATATTGTGTACACTTACCCAATAAACATTACTCACAGCTTCATAAACAGTTACCAAAATGTTTTTTTTTTACGTTAAACAACTATTACAATCTTGTGGTCTTATTGCCATTACAAAATCACTTTTCAACTATTTCTATAAAGTATTATTTGTTGATCTAGTTAAAAGTTGTAACATACGTGGACCGTCGGTTCAGATGAGTGTTTTTTAGAGCAAATATATGGACAGTGCCTTTATCACTGGAGACACACAAGAATTCTGAGTCATGACTGAAGTTTATGCTGAAAAAGAAACAAACACAATGCTTGAAAGAGTTTATTCCCATGGAAATTAAAACGTTAATGTGACAGAAAATACAAAACTAATTTAAAACAGTTTATTTTCACTGCACTATTAGTTTAATTACAGCTGGGAGACATAAAGGTTTTTAATATCAACATGTACTAAACACAAGGACATTAATACAAAAGTTATTCTTTTGTATGAATAATTGGGAAGAAAAGGCAATAAATTAGTAATAAATAAGGAGTCCACTTGTGATGAGCCTTCTATCTCCAAGATATTAACCAGATTCTTTCATTCTTCTTATACTACTGTTACGTCTCGGTTCGTTAATTTTCCGTAACTTCGTTCCGACGAAACTTTAGCGACACAAGCCCTTTCTTAAATAAAACTGGTTTATTCTTTCTGAATATAACTTTGCAATACATTTAATTTCAACAGTCGTGCTATAATTCTCGACGAACTTCTCACGTGCTTAACAATATTCTCTCTGACTGCAGTTCAATTACTCATTACACTGTTTCCGTCATGTTGTGAACGTCTTATATATACAAGACTAATACATATCTAGTAAATGCTAGGGCATTCTTGATGGAACAGGATATTTCTAGAAAGGGGTGGCGTGATACTAGTCACGTGACCTCGCTGACGCAACACTG